TTGTGTGCGTGCGTGCGTGCGTGCGTGCGTGCGTGCGTGCGTGCGTGCGTGCGTGCGTGCGTGCGTGCGTGCGTGCGTGCGTGTGTGTGTGTGTGTGTCGTGTGTGTGCGCGCGCGCGTGTGTAGGTAACTGTTAGTACAATCCGATTAAATAGAAAAGAAGTTTAATTGGAAACGGGAAGGAAAGTATTTGTCCAAACTTACCCTTACGTACAGATTTCTCCGCAAATTTAATAGCTTTCATCGTGGATTGTAGGAATTTTCGATTAACCCTCAATACAGCTATATCATAAGGTTTACCGTTCGGTGTTTTGTAAATTAGATTTGCATCTGCCGACCACTCGTGTCTACCTGTTGGTGACATAACAGACCTTGCAATTTCGATCCGCGCTTCCGGTGCCTAGGAACGCGATTAGGTGAAAAGATTTTTAGTAACTAGACAAAAATAAAGTAAAGAAAATTAAAAGAAGGAGAAAGAAAAAAAAAAAAGATAGGGAAGTGGTAAAAAGAGCTAAAGAGAAGTAAGAAAAGAAGAAAAACATGATACTTTCGTACCATTGTAACAACATGCGCGCACGTTATGAATGTTCCACTTTGTTCATCTACTAGAGTGCCAGTGCCCCAATTCGATCCACACTTTACGATCGCGATGCATTTTTCAAGGGTATCTGAGAAACAAGCAAATAAATTTTTTCGTAAGACGAAGTACAAGCTGTGTCTGCGAATAAAGGTTAGAAGGTTTATTTAATTCACATGTATAAACGGAATAAGAAAGAGGAGAAAAACGAAAATAACGGAAAAATGTGGGTACGTACCAATTTCGAGACGATTGTGCCACGTGAAAGGGAAAATGGTGCAGGTTAAATATCGAGATTGGTTTTTCAGAAGTTGAGTTTGGAGAATTAATTTCAACGATGGTAGCAGATTTACGGCGAAAGTACAATTCACCCATTCTCCACGGCAGCAGCTTAACGATGCAATTATCATGCCACAAATACTTCTACGACCGCTTGTAAATTATATTACATGTTAGAAAACAAAACGAAAGAAGAACAATGAAATGGCGGTATAGGAGATGAGATCGAAAAAGAAATAAGGAAGGAAGGAAGGAAGGAAGGAAGGAAGGAAGGAAGGGAGGAAG